CATGTGCCACCACCGCCATGCACTTGGTATGGCTCTAATAGCTCTGACCCCCAGACAACTTTATTTATTAACGTACAATTAAAATCACATTTCAGTACAAGTAAAATACCACCACAACTTTAGCTTGTGCCAAATTGACACACACAACCAGCCAGTACACAGGACCTTTCTTAGCATAACTTCTCACAGCCTTCACCTTTGAGGAAAATTACTCACAACTGAGTATAATCACAACTACTTGAGTTCCTACCATGTACTTAGCACCCTACTAAATATATTGAAAATATTGTTCTCAAATAAGCCTCTCTACACTTCTGGTAACTTGGCACTTCATTCTGGAGGTGAATGATTGTATTTCCAGAGCTTCAGTGGTGCAATAAATTCCTGCAGCTTGTTGGGGGGTAAAACAGGGATTCAAATGAATTTCTTTCTCACTTCAAAGTTTAGGCTTCTCTCTGGTCCAATGCTTTCCTTCCACGGGATTCTGAATTTCAAGGGGATTTGCTGACCTTCATATTAATAGCTAAGTGTTAATTGAAGTTGTCACAAGTCAGCAAGAACAATTTGAAAGGAAACAATATCATTATGAATACAAATGTCAGAAATAAGCATAAAGTTCTTTCTGAAAGCTTAGAGAAACTCTAAGAAAGTCCACTTTCTTGTCAGAAAAGGGAGACAGAAGGGTATTATCAATTGCCCCAAAACTAACGTGGGGCCTCCCATCTATTCCCTTTGAATAGCATGTCTACACAGTGGTTGCATGAGTATATATTTATGCTGTGACCTTTCCACACACAAGAATAATAGCTTCTTTTATCCAAGTCTCCTGGGATAAAATGACTTTTGTGAGTGAATTAAAGTTATAACACTTTTCTCTACATCTCTTATCCTTTCCACTATGTCTCACAGGTGTAGGGCATGCAGAAAAACTAAGAAGCATTTTGTACCACCCAGGACCATTTACTATGTGCAAAACCAAATCAAACTACCCACCACACCAAATAGAAAATGTGAGAATGAATACCTCTCCTTTCTTGTGTTTTATATGAGTTTTGTCCTATTTTTGTAGCATCCCAGTCTCATTATTGTTATTTATATTTCATAGGGAATGGTTTTTCACATGAAGTTTCTCTTTTTATCCTCATCTTGGGTGGTAGGGGAAATCCTTTCATTTTTGTAATTTGCTAGTCCCACTACGTAGGAATGAGAGTTTTAACAGCTGCTGTGAAATCATCTTAATATCCACCGACATAGGCTCAGTGCTTCAAGAAAACCACTTTCTCCAAACTCCCTTTTCCCTGGTTGTGCTGAAAATCTATACTTCATGTTGTTTTAATGTTGATGTGCAATCATTCCCTCTAATTTTGTCACATGGTGTGCCCTACAGGAAGCTCCCATTGTAAGAGATTTATGGCACTCTTGGCGAAGGATTCAATCAGAAATTGGGGGATGTAAATGAGCAGAGAGATTGGAGTCCTCTACCTTGCTTGTTTATTAGATTTTTCTTGAAAAATCTCTTACTTGAAGCTTCTCTACTGAACATGAAAAACAGAATCTGCAGTTTCTTGGCCTTTCCTATTAAGAAAAAATTGCAGTGCACTACACACTCTTCTGTAAAATAGAAACCTTCCAGTCTTAATGTATTTTTATATGAGCAGATGCCCAGGATAACAAATTAAGAGAGATTTTGTTTCTACTTATATCACAGGGCTGTCTTCTCTCTGCTTTCCTCACCTTTAAAGAACGGCTCCTGCAACATTTCAAATAAAGAACTATGGTGCAATGTCCCAAGATGAAGCCACCACCTTTCCAGCACTCCCTCCCTAGTAGTCATTCTAATGGGAATATTACCTCTAGTGTAATTTCCATAACAAACCTTTGAGTTTGTTGCTATTTTGTGAATACAGGGCAAAATTAAGCTTCAGAAAAAATGTTAAAGACCTGCCAAGAATAATATAGTTTTTTGGCAACACATATATTTGAATCTAGGTTGGTCTCCTGCTAAGACTTAATGCATTTTTCACTTGTCCACTAATGTCAGAGCTCCTTTCCTTCTATATTTGACTATGTTTGGAAGTAGGCCATTGAGTGAATACTGTGTCAATGGCCATCAGCAGATGTGTCCTTAAACTAAGGCTATCTTTAGAGCTGTTGATGCTCTTTTGGATTTCCACAACTTTGTTATCCCCAAATAGCAGCATTCCTATCCTGAACGCCTCTCCATTTGAAGGAGTAGGATCGATTCTCAAACTAGTTTGATAGTTTGGAGAAAGCCACACTGAATTTGGCTAGTTGGTGCTTTTTCCAGAGTTGATAAAAGACCCAGAACACTTTTCCTCACATTCAATTTTTTTCCACTGCTACTGCACTTAATGATTTCAATTGATTTTTTATATTTGATATCTCAATTTTATTTATTACTTTGACTAAAAATTAATAGCTATTAGTGTACATTCATAAATAAAGCTTTGTGGTTTTTTCATACTGTTGGAGATGCCTTGGACTCACAATATTCCCAAGATATGTAATCCATATGTTTCTTTATGTTGAAGTCCACTGTAGACATATGCCCTTATAACATCAAAATCAGACATAATATGTGAAGAAAATGTTATTTGGAAACATCAAACAATATCTTCTTTAGCAGAAATAGTTTCTCCTTTCCCTCAAATTTAATTAAATGCCCAGTCTACTGCAGTGTATAGAAGAATTGTCTTATTAATTATACTTTAAATGGACTGTTTGTTAGGTCAGTCTATGACTGGCATCTGGGAATTTGGAGTTTGAGAGTGCTTCAACCACCTACTTCACAATAGAGTATTAATATGTCTAAACTGTTCATGCAAACAATATGGTTTATCTAGAGCTCCTGCTCTGTGTTTCTTCTCAGACTCTAGCATTTAGCTAGAAACTTAACATGTTTTCTACATGACCAGTATCCAATAGAAAGTGTGGATCCTGAGTCTCTAAGGAGCTTCATGGTAGATATTTTGCACCTGTTGTCACAGCTCTTTGCTTAGGGAATTAAGTGTTCCCCGTGTGATTCCACTGAAGGAGAACTCTTAGAAGCTTGTGCCCGAGGTCTTCCTGGACTACTTCAGCCAGCTTTGCCTACTATTGATTGTTCAATTTGTCATTCCCTTGAAACAAATATCAGCCATGAATGTTGACTCCACCTTGTGTTCTGTGAGTCCTTCAAGCAAATCTTCAAGTCAGAGAGCAACTCAAATAAATGTTTCCTCAGCCTTTGAACTGTTCTGGAATGTCAAACTTATGTTCATGTAGACTAAGTGTTTGCTGATTCCTAAAGTTTACATGCTAAAATCCTGATCACCAAGTTGTGGGGTTTCAATGTGGAACCTTCTGGAGACGGAAGTCAGGCTTCCCATGAATGCTATTAGTGTCCCTTAAGGAAGACTTAGGAAAGTCTTTCTGAAACCCCTTCTGCTGTGTGAAGACAAAGAAAATGGTCATATTTGAACAGAGAAAGGAGGTTTTCATCAAAGAGTGGATGCTTTGTGCACAGAACTAGGAAAAGTAAATTTCTGTTGTTTATAAAGCACCCAGCATGGGTTACTCTCTTAGAGCATACTGAATATACAACAGCAAATGAACATTTAGAAATGATGTAGATAGTCTCACTGATAGAAACAGAAAGTTTATAACTTTAAGAAAGGCACATAAAGAAAGATAACAAGATTTGGGTATTGTGTCACACACTTGTAATCCCAGTACTCAGGAGGCTGTGGCAGGAGGATCATTAGTTTGAGGTCAGCTTGATCTACATGATAAGACCCTGTCTCATTTTTTTATTACTATATTAGAGGTAAATTAGACTTAAAAGAGGATGTTTCATTGTTTCATTTGAACATTATATTCTGTAGACTTTTAACATTTTTTCTTGGGTTTTGATTTGATTGATGTTAAGAATGAACTAAAGAGGGATTACATGAGCAAGAGAGCTCAAGATCATGACGGGAGAATCTACAGAGATAACTGAACCAAGCTCATAGGAACTCAGGAACTTTAGATGGACAGCTGTGGAGCCTGCATGGGACCAGTCTAGACCCTCTGCATACAGGAGAGAGATGTGTAGCAGGATCTGTTTGAGGGCCCTGGGCAGTGTGATCAGCATCTATCCCCAATGCATGAGTGGCTTTCTGGATCACATTACCTATGGTCAGACACCTTGCTCACCCCTGATAAAGTAGGGAGGGGCTTGGTCCTGCCTCAACTGAGTGTACCAGGTTTAGCTGTTTCCCCATGGGAGAAGTTACCCTGTTGGAGGAGGGGATGAGGGGTGGGGAGGCATGAGGGGTTTGGAATAAGGGAGGAGAGGGGGATCTGTGGTTGGTATGTAAAATGAATTAAAAAATTTTAAAAAAAGAATATCAAGCTGGGCAGTGGTGGTGCACGCCTTTAATCCCAGCACTCAGGAGGCAGAGACAGGTGGATCTCTGTGAGTTCAAGGCCAGCCTGATCTACAGAGCGAGATCCAGGACAGGCACCAAAACTACACAGAGAAACCCTGTCTCTAAAAACCAAAAAAAAAAAAAAAAAGGAATATCATTTCAGCTTCTGTAATTCCAGGAAAAAAGATTCTCCCCAGCAGTAACACTCACTAATGATGTCTATGTCATTGGCAATATTGTAGCATCACAGTGACTTATTTAAGTTGGGCTAGTTTAGAGTATACAAATTGATATACCTGAAAGATTTCCAATTGGCAAACAAGTTACATGTATGAAAATGAAATTATTTTAATATTATGAAACGCTGGTTAATATATGCAGGAGCAAAGTAATCTATTGATCCAGTGTTTTGTATGAAAGCAAAAGAAATACATTATAAAACCACGAGTGCCACAAAATTATAATTAGAACAAAAATAAGTAATAAGCAAGTCTTAATATTTATATTGTACCTCCCTCTATGAATATCCTACACATAAAAGATGTTTTTTAAGATTATACTAATCTCAAGCCTCTGTCTTGTTTCCAGCTTCCTGTCTACTGTGAAGGGGAAGAAAATCCTCCACTACATTCTCCTGTCAATGCTATGCTGTGCAGAGGGCCAAGAACTGACTAAACACTCTGAAACTGGGAGCCAAAACAAAACCATTGTTTATATCAGGAATTTAAGTGTTTACATCACACAAGAAAGCAATAACACAGCCATATGTTATATGAAATGATGTACCTGTCTATTTTTCATGAATATTAAGTTATGAATGTTTTCTTCCACTACTCAAAGTACTCATTATCAACAGTTACTATTTAAATATTCCTTACTGTAAATAATGCTATCATGAGGTTTGTGGATATTTTCTCCAGTTTGTGCTTTTTCTCTATGATAGGATTCCCTAAATAAAGTAAAATACCACAAATGTTCGAGATCCTTGATCAAGAATAAGAAACCCTAAAGCTTGAATTTTATATAATTTTGCAATTTGTAGTACTTTTATTTCTTTGTATAGACTTCAATTATTGTTGTCATTCTCAGAAGAAATTAATTTGAATATTTTTACAGAGTATTTGTTGTCAACTAATTCTCTTGGCTTTTATTTAAGATACTTACATTGAGATGCTTTCATGTAATTCTAGATTGACATGATTTTTTTCTTTTATTATTTTGAAGTCACTCCATTATTTTCTGACTTTCATGGTGTCAGTTGAGAAATAACCTTTAATCCCTTTATCTGTTACTCTGTATGTAATATATAATTTTCCCTTGGCATCTTCCAAGATACTCTTTTTATCTTTGTTCTTAGTGTGACTATGAGGTATCTATAAGTGATTTAATTAAAACGCCTCATGTTTAGGGATCTCTGAGAATCTTGGATAGCTTTGATGTTTCATTATATCTTAAAATTTCTCAGGCATTGTCTCTTTAAATATTGGTTTTGCCTTTTCTCTTCTTTTCAGCTCCTCCCCACACCCTTTCCTTTTGTTTCTTTTCCTAGGACAATAGGTTATACCATGTGATACATACTAACAAACAGCTCTTGGAAACTCTGTCCCAGACATTTCCCTTTTTGTATTTCAGTTTAGATCATTTATATTAATCAGTCTTCTAGTTCCCCCAGTCTGTCTTCAAATACATTGATCTTTTAATAAGCCTATTGAGGGAATTCCTCATTTTAGACATTTCCATTTGACTTCATACTTCTCTTCTTTACTGAAATTCACAATAATTCTTTTCAATTGCTTTGTTCAATTATTTTCAATGGTTCTGTAATCTCGAGTTATTTAATTTGGAGTTATTTAAGAAACCTTTTATGATGGCTTGACCGGTCTAGCAGGTCAGGTTATTCGAGGGTCTCGAGGAGGGAACCACCTGAAAGCCAATGGGGGCGAGAGAAGAAGGAGACCAGGCACATAAGGAAAGACAGAGTTAGTCTGAGTCGTGTCAAGGTCTCGTTTATTGGCAGTATGTTGCAGCTTATAAGCAGGATTTCAGGCAGGGAGGGGGAGCAGGGAAAGGAGAGTGGAAAAATTTTGAGAAGAAGTTAGGGTGGTCAGGGTGGGTGTTTCTTTGGTCCCAGGCTTCTGTAGCTGGCTGATTACAGTTTATGCCAAGTGGTTTATCTAAACGTACATTTTGCAGTTAGGCCAAGGACGCCCTGTTTTTGCAAGACTCCACGAAGCAGAAAACTCAAGACATAACAGTCCTGGGTCAAACAGTCCTGAGTCAGTCTCCAACAATGGCTCCATAATTTGACTCTATTAATTGCTTTTACTTTTGATGTTGGATCACCTTTTGTGTGTTTTATTATTTTTGATTGACTGCTAAGTATTATGTTAGCAGTATAGACTTGTACTAATAATATTTACATGTATAAACAGGCACAGCTTCTTCTCTTAGGCAGTTAGTATAAATATGGGAAACTGAGCAAAACTAGTTAGCAAATAAAGTAGTTGGGGTTTCATTTTTGCTGACTGAACCTTCAGAGCTCTGTAGGTTTTGATTGTGTTTGGAAATGGGCTGCTTTGATATAGTTCTTAAATTAAAGACCCACATGACTAAAAGGATTTTGTTGGTATTTTCTCTTCTCTCTAGGCTTTTCCATTTTATTTTATTTTATTTTTCTTTATTCTTCTCTTACACAATACACCCTGACCACAGCCTCCCCTCTCTTCCCTCCTTCTCAGCCCCTCCACACCTCCTTTCTCCCCCAAATGCAACTGCTCCCCCATTTCCCTCAGAAAAAAGGCCTCCCAAGTATATCCACCAAATGTGGCATAACAAGATGCAACTAGGCATAAACCCTCATATCAAGACTGGAGGAAAAGAGCCCCACGAGCAGATGAAAGAATTAGAGAGCTTTAGGGAATGCCTAGGAAGAGGAGGCAGAAAGAATGTAAGAGCCAGTGGGGACAGCTGACACCAAGTCCTTCTAAATCAACTGAACAAAATTCACATGAACTCACAGAGACTGAAACAGCAAGAACAGGGATGATATGGATCTGTATCATGTCTTCTGTGTATATCTTAAAGCTTTAAGTTTAGCATTTTTATGGGAATTCCTGAGTGCGTGAACTAGTGAGTCTCTGATTCTTGTGCCTCTTCCTGGGGCTCTTTTATTTTCATTTTAACTTGTCTTGTACAACTTTGATATGATGTTTTTACTTTATCTTATTATATTTTATTGTTATCTCATAAAAAGCCTGTTTTTTTTTAATGTGAGACAGAAAAGGAGTGAGTGGATCCAGCAGTAAGAGGAGGTGGGGAAGACCTGGGAGTAGCAGAGGGAGGAAAAAAATATTTTCGTATTACATTGTATGAGAAAAGAATCTACACCTAATAAAAGGGTAAAAGTTTTGTTATTGATTCTGTTATTGTGTAGCTTTTATAACTAAAATGTACATTGCTGAATTCGATTCATTATTTATTACTTGCCTATTCAGATTTTTCTAGTTCTTCATGATTTAGTCCTGGTATTTTTTTTCCGAGATAATTAAGAGTTTTTCTTAATTTGGCTAAATGTTTGTGAATTTTGCCCATCTTTACAAAAATCAACTAATGCTTTAATTAATATTTCCGTATTCTATTTCTGATTTCATTTTTCTGCTGTGATCTGTTTTAGGATCCTGTACATGCGCAGCTCAGGGTCTTGCATCTTACATCAGCAGCAGGCGCTGCTATGTGGTCACTCAATCTGTGCCTTAAAAAAGCCAGATGCAGACCCCCCCACCCTCTCTCTGTACCCTGCTCTGCTCGGCTCTGCTCCGGCCATCTTTCTCTCCAGGCCTGGATCTCTTCCCTCCTATCCCATCCTTCCTTCTAATAAAGCTCTTTGTAACTCTGGTTGTTGTGCCACCAGCACCGTTTATTATAACCATCATTTGGTGCTATGGACTCAGATAGGCTGAACATTGTTGGAAACCTAACCAAGGACCTGTGACTGCAACCACTGCCACCACTGCGGTACTGCATGCTCACTGTTGCTGCCGTGTCTTGCCACTGCCGCTGTGTCTCCTGCCTCCGTGTCTTCCCCCATCACTTGTGAGTCCTGCGGCTATGCAGCCTGAGCTAAATTACTCGCGCCGGACCCCTGGGGGGCCATTGGCTGCATACCATGACACATTCTATCTTGACGAAGTATGGGATGCTGTCCGGCCCCCTGGGGGTGGGGTGTCTCCAGTGTGTACACCTTAGCCCTTACCCTTATCGTGGCGATGGTTGGGGTAACCAGTGCTGTTAATGCCAATTTGCAGACTGTCTATCCTCAAGGACGCTTGAAATAGGAGCCTGGGATCCCGTTTGTTATTTTAATTTTTTTTCTCTCAGCTGCAGCCATGGGACACAGGGGCAGATACCAGTAAATTTGGCCACATAATGGCTTCATGGGAACTTCTGCCAGCAAATGGGCCAATGAAAAGAGTTACCTTAGACAAAAAAAAAGAAAAGAGTTACCTTATCCCCAAGCTTTCTACCGAAGCTCTGAACCTCACCCCCACTCCCTTCTCCACTTCTGATTCTTCCTCTGCCACATGCAACCATTTTTGTCTATCTGACTTCCTCTTTCTGTTCACTGGCAGTGGGTGGGCTTTAACTCACCTTAACTCCTCCCACTCATTCTCAAACTGCCCTGTAATAAGGATGACTCTATATCCAGAGATTAGTTTATAGCCTGCCTCCTGGCAGGTCTTCCTAAAGCTGTCCTCAAGCCAGCAGACATAAAAAATTCAAGACACGGAGTAAAATCCGTCTCTTGTCTCCTAGAGCTAAAACTTAAGCATCTGGAGAACAAGGCTCCTGACCCCACAGGTGGAAGTTTCAGCTGTGGCATTTGAGGTGTACCAGGGAGAGATCAAAAAAAAGCTCGAGAACAGAATAGCCAAGTGCTGGCACATGCTGGCTCCCGAAAGCTGTTGGGTCCCTGTTTTAAGTGCGGGGGGCGGGGGGGGGGGGGGTGGGGAGAAGGCCACACGGCCTAGTGTGTTTCCTGCCAGGCCAGGCTGACTGCACCCAGGCACCAAGATGGCGTGGGAACATCAAGCTAGTATCTCCAGCAGACCTAGGCTTGGCCACAGGCTCATTTGCAGGAACCCAGAATGCAGATCTGTTTCTTTCTTTCTGGACACCAGAGCCACTAACCCAGTCCTGGGAGTTTTGGGGTCTCACCTCTCCTCATTTCCCTATTGTCAGGGTAGGGAGGTCAGCCTTACCCACCCCACCCCAGATTTAATTGTACTTTCAGAGTTACTTAATGGGAAAAGTTTTTCCAGCTAAGGTAGGAGCTTTCATTTCATTGCTCCATCATCCATGTGCCTCACTCCAGACCTGTTAGCAGTGCTTCTCCTCCTCATACACACAGACAGGGCCTTGATCTCTGCCTTGTCCCTAATTCCAAAAAATGAGTTCTCACCCCACAAACTTTTCTCTTTTCAGTTTCCTCTTCTAATCAACTGTTCAGCTAATGGTTACAGGATCACCACAGAACTGGAGTCCAGAGGTCGGTCAAGTAAAAAACTGTAACAGCTAAAAGGTATTTAAACCCCCAGACCCAAAAGTGTCTGGGTTCTACAAACCAGACTTTAATATAACCATCTATTACTGTTAAATGCTCTCAACAATTGTTCACCTGTGTCTCCTGGATGCTAAACTAGTAAAGGAAACAGGTGCCTTAAATAATCTGTCTCTGATAAATCTTAAAAACATGTTCCAATCTCTCTGTCTCTCTCATTAACACTAACCAACATAAGCAGAGTACTAAACACTACCATGATCACTAATTTTCTCATGGCTACTTCTTAACATGTTCAATATTTCTCCCAAGGCCCAGAAACCAGCTTAAATCCATCTGGACAGGTCGGATCTACTTCAGGCTTTTTCTGTCTCACCAGTATCCTGTCAGAAACAAAAGTGGCCAGAATGCCAAGCCAAGAGGGATAGATGGCTCCAGGGCAGCAAGACAGCCCACCATCCCAGGACGCCTGTCAACTTCAAAAAAACCCCTTTCCTACCCCCACCCCCAAGAACCAACCAATGCCCACCAAGTCAGCTGGAAGCAGTTTTTCTGGGAGAAAATGCCCCTATTCCTATTCATTTGCTTTTTTATAATAAGCAAAAAGTCTGAAATGTTGTGTCTTATTTCATCAGCAGGCACTGGTGACTACGTAGTCATGCAATCTGTGCCTTAAAAAAGCCGGATGCGGACCCCCACCCTCTCTATGTTCCCGCTCTGCTCCCACCATCTTTTTTTCTCCAGGCCTGGACCTCTTCCCTCCTATCCCCTCCTTCTTTCTAATAAAGCTCTTTGTAACTCTGGTAGTCATGGCCGTGGCATGTGACTTTTCAGTCTGTAACCAGCACTGCCACCAGTGCCGTTTATCATAACCATCAATCTGTATTTCCTTCTATTTTAAATGTTGGAATTAGTTTGGTCTTTTCATAGTTCTTTGAGTTGTACTGGGTATCTTTTCTTATTATTATGTTGTTACCTAGTACTATGATCTCTTACCTGATTCCTTCAGCTGTTGTGAAGGTATGTTCATGAATAGATAGCTGTTCAAACTTCAGCTTCTGCTGTGGAATGAGCACTGAAGTCTTATTTCACTATCTTGCCTCCCAGCAGAATAAAGACTAATTGGTACTTGAAGTACCTCACTTCTCTCTGTATATATAGTGGCCCATTCTCTAGGGCCTTGCTATATGTCTTCTGTCTCCAGCACAATAGCTGGAACTTAGTCACTGCATAGCAACTGAGTTACAATGGAACAAAAGTATAAAATTCCATTGAATGCCTAAGCCACAAACCAGTACAGTGAGGACCTCTGTTAAATTCTTTGGGTTAAAGAAAGTCACAGACTAGCCTAATCCAAGAGAGGGGAAGGTGGATTCTATGTTTTATGAGAGAAACATACAAGTAGAAGTAAAGAAGTAATTTTTATAGACATATTTGGATGCCATCTGCCACTATTTATTCAATTGTTAAAATTCACATGTATGCAAAATATAGTAAAAATCCCATTCTTAATGTAATATTATTGTATCATTAGCTCAAAATTGGGATCTGATCTATTTTCCCTTCCTGGAGCACTCCATGTGTACCTCTTAGGGTCCTCCTTGTTACCTAGCTTCTCTGGAGCTGTAGATTGTAGTCTGGTTATTCTTTGATTTACATCAAGTATCCACTTATGGGTGAGTTCATATTATGCTTGTCCTTCTGAGTCTGGGTTACCTCACTCAGGATGATATTTTCTAGTTCTATTCATTTGCCTGCAAATTTCATGATGTCATTGTTTTTTTTTTCTTTACAGCTGAGTAGTACTCCATTGTGTATATGTACCACATTGTCTTTATCCAATCTTTGGTTGAGGGGCATCTAGGTTGTTTCCAGGTTCTGCTATGAATAATGCTGGTATGAACATTATCAAGCAAGCATCCTTGTGGTATGACTGAGCATCCATTGGGTATATGCCCTGTGGGGCGTTTACCCAACCACCCCCACAGTTCCCCAGAGTTTTCTTGAGTGCGAGCAGCAGGAAATATTAGATAGAAGGATTTATTGTGGAGAATATCACGGAGATAAACAGATAGAAAATAAAGGATAGCCTCGAGAGGGCCTGGAACCTATTCCAACGGGCCCCGACTGTCTCTGCCCCAGGGTTTTTATAGAGACGCCAAGGGGTGGAGCAAAAGACCTCCTCCCCCAGCACAGCCAAGTGCAGACCATCTCAGACCTGCACTCAGGCCCGTGGCCCTAATCATCCTCTATGCGGACATGCTGGGTAAAGGCACGAGGAACCCGAGAACGGGCTCCCACAATGCCCAAGAGTGGTATCTTTGTGTCTTGAGGTAGATTGATTTCCAATTTTCTAAGATGTCATCATACTGATTTCCAAAGTGGCTGTACAAGTTTTCATTCCCACCAACAGTGGAGGAGTGTTCCCCTTGCTCCACATACTCTCCAACATAAGCTGTCCTCAGTGTTTTTGATTCCAGCTATCCTGACAGGTGTAAGATGGTATCTCAGAGTCATTTTGATTTACATTTCCCTGATGACTAAGGATGTTGAGCAAATCCTTAATTGTCTTTTGGACATTTGAAATTCTTTTGTTGAGAATTCTCTGTTTAGATATGCACCTCATTTTTTAATTGGATTATTTGGTATTTTGATGTCTAGCTTTTTGAGTTCTTTATATATTTTGGAGATCAGTCCTCTGTCAGATGTGGGGTTGGTGAAGATCTTTTCCCATTCTGTAGGCTGTCATTTTGTCTTGGAAGGTCAGTAGAGGGGGGGAATGGGGGATGAGAGCATGAGGAAAAGGGGT